GAGCTTTTTCAGGGGAATGGTTTGAGTTGGTGCTGCCATTGCTTTGGCGGTCAGACCTTTAGGACGACTAGGTGGAGTCTTCAAGATCGGTCCTACGTCTTGGTTTATTTTCCTCAAGCTATTTAGCCTGTCCTCGTGGAGTCTAGCCAGTCCAATGGCTGCAGACATGGTGGTAGGTTGCACAGCCTTAACCTCTAACCTTATCTCGTCTCGGAGACCGCCAATGAAGCATCCTATGAGCGTGTTCTCCGGCCAGCCATACACTCTCATTTCCAATCGCTCAAATGCAATCTGGTATTCCCCACACAGTGCCTACTTGTTGCAGCTTTGGCAGAGCTTCATCGAATTTTTTGAAAGACAATAGTCCAAAACGGACATAGAGGGCTTCCGAAAATTCTTTCCATGTCATCTGAGGATGAGATCATTTATACCACTGAAACCAGTTGATTGCCTCTCCTTCTAGGTACACCGAAGCGATCAACACTCTCTGCTGGCTCGCGATCTTCTGGATATCAAAGTATCGCTCTGCTCTGTAGACCTAAGAAAGAGGATCTTGTCCACTGAAAGCAGGGAAGTCCACTCTGACCTACCGGTGATTATTTCCACCGAATTGGTGAGCATTGTCTTGACCGGAACTCTCGTCACCATTTTCTTTGTTGTTTGATGATGCATTCATCTTCTCACACTATGACATCATCGTTGAGATCATGCTCACCACAGGAGTCTTCTTTGAGGGAGACTTTGCCTCCTGAGAGAGAGATTCTGAAAATGGCTTGATGCCTTTCTCGCAGGTTGCCGTTGATGCCTTTCTCATCAATTCTGGTATTGATGCCTTTCTCATTATTCCATGGGCTATTTATAGATGCCGGTTACCCCATCTGGCGAGGTCCCCAGGTATACACTTGTTTAATGGGCCTAAATGGGCCATTCATAGTTCTGTTATTATCAACAACTCCATCAGAATTGCTCCTTAAGAGGGGAGTTCCCAACTCAGATAGGTTCCCAAAATTTAATGTGTTCCCCAGAACAAGGGTCGTACCTGACATACTGGAGGAAGATGGTTAGATATCATGAATGGCCTTCCAAGGAGAGGCTCGGTTTTGCCCTTGTCAAGAGTCCAATGTCCCAACCATTTGCCGGAAGCCCATGTGTGCTGAGCACCACTTCAGTCCCCAACTTGCCCCTATCTAGGGGCAATCTCCATAGCCATTTCCTCAATGGAGCCTCTTTTCTCTTTTGAATATATATATATATATATATATATTTGATAAATAACATCAATTCCATTAAAATAATGAATAGATACAAGAAGATCCCCTTAGAGGCGTGAGGAGCAGGCTCTCCAAACAGCAAATACACAAACTACAACAGAGAAAACATGAATGTTGAAATTAAAACAA